TATATATATATAATAAATTCATTATTAACTTTTGCATTTGTTTGAAACCAACATACAGTTACTTACAAAACTTACAGTTACTGAGATGTGACAGAACATGAGATAACTAGTCCCGTCTCCCATAAACCACTACCAAACCTATCAAACAGATAAACAACCTAAACTACTGGATAGTTCGGTTCTGATTTGTTCTAGCTTTCTTGGGTGTTTTACAGTCAGTATGAAATTTCAGAAACAAACATAATAGGTTGAAATGCAGACATAAACAGGACAAACCAGTTCAACTTACCAACTAGCAAGAAGAAAAGCTGGTGTCTCCACGACACTGATGCCATGGCGTGTCGATCTGAGTCAAAGCTACAGAAGTTTGTGGATAGTCGATTAAACGGCACTATTCTCTCGACACTCGACACATCTGCGCTTTTGGCAGGTAATTTCGCAGAGTTTCATTCAACGCTGAATCTCCGCTGAAGACGCAGAAGAGAGAATTCCTCCGTTCCTCTCAGTCACCATGCCCTTGTCTTTTATAAAGTACTGCTTTAGTGCCGAATAACGCTCAAAAGAACTGAACTGGGTCTCGGATCAGCTGAAGCGTGCGCTCAATAGTTGTCTGAAGTCGCTCGTGGACAGTCGGGCTGTGCGCTCCAGCGCGCGTCAGGCGCACAAGTAAAAGATGCGAGCTGTGCTTGTGGCAACAGTACAAACGAAGCCACCTCCCTCACGGCTCATCAACTTATGCTGGCTAATAATAAACATGAGCATAATTAATTAGAATAGTGAGGGAACCACTGTTACTTACACTGTGCAGTTCACACTAGGGAAAAATGATAAACGGATAAAACATTAACGACAATATGAACAAGAGCTTTATGCTCATTTCCAAATGTACTACTGCGTAAGTACGCACTAATTTTATATGTATAATATAATAAATACCCAGACTGCTATTATCCAATGCCGAAAATGAAAGAAACTTGCCTAGTAACTTCCGATGGATTGACGCAAATGTTCATGTCCAGATGAAATGTCATCATTTAAGCGCAGCCCCATTAAAAGTGAGATTTTGCGCCTTCTGTGGTCACGATCTAAATTACAGGGGGAACTGCCAAAACAATGATGAATTGGACTGAGAAATACAGCGTTAGCAGCAGTTCTGCTAATAAGAATAACTCAAATGTTCGAGAAGTATTGTACAAACAAGCAATCAATAACATCAGGCAATTATACTGAATTCTTCCGGTTACATTTGTGCCTTGAATTGATGTGTATAAGTTTACTTGTCTGCTGTAAGTAATCATATGACATTTATTTGACAATAAATGTTTAAATTGTCTATTATTAATGTATTAAGATTGTTCTATATACTTTTTGAACAACCAAGCATTTAAGTCTAGTTTCAAATTATGACCGTGAATAAATCAAACACTTTCATCTTGTATGATATTTTGATGGTGATATATATTATAAGTAAAATAATATGAGTGAAATAAGTATAAATATGCGGTAAATAAACTGGTTGTTTGGAAATCGTAAGGAGCACGAGTTTTAAGCAGTGATCTGCATTTGTTTCTGATTATGTCATTTTAAAAATACATTTATCATATACATTTCCTTAAATATGAGGTGAACAACAACAAAAAACTGAAAAAGTATCTTGTGTGAGTTCCACTAATTCGTAAGTTTAGAGCTTACAGCTAGAGGACTCGAGTCTGATCCTGTTCATCTCATGTGAAGAGCTCTGGCTCCATCTGCTGCTCCACTGGAGACTTCAGCCACACTGCCAGGGGAAACCTTTCAACAGATATTATGACAAACTGACAAACAGAATAACCTTACCCGAGTCTATGGCAGCTCCGAGTCCAGGAAATTACTGCACCGTTTCTAGGTTCAGTCAAGCAAAGAGAGGAGTGAGGTTATGACCACAATTTTGTCACTGCAGAGTAAGGAATTCTAGTGAAGAATCTTTTGCTATTAAGGATTGGGAATATTTTTGTATACTTAGACTGAATGAAATTCTTTCCTCTGCACAACTTGGTGTAAGGTTTGGTCTGCCTGACCAGATCCAGTACAGTTTAGTCTTAAACCTACAAACATTGTCAAGTGCATTAGGTTCGTTGAATTTCCTAAAGTTCATTAAATTCCTTCTTTTATGCTTAAACAAGCAATACAGGCTTATCCACACATATTGGATTATTATCAGCAACATGAGATGAAATTCTAAACAGATTTGGAACAATTTTAAAATCATCATCATCAGCTTTTAAATATGCAGGTGCATCTCAATAAATTAGAATGTCGTGGAAAAGTTCATTTATTTCAGTAATTCAACTCAAATTGTGAAACTCGTGTATTAAATAAATTCAATGCACACAGACTGAAGTAGTTTAAGTCTTTGGTTCTTTTAATTGTGATGATTTTGGCTCACATTTAACAAAAACCCACCAATTCACTATCTCAACAAGTTAGAATACTTCATAAGACCAATAAAAAACTATGTTTAATGAATTGTTGGCCTTCTGGAAAGTATGTTCATTTACTGTACATGGACTCAATACTTGGTAGGGGCTCCTTTTGCTTTAATTACTGCCTCAATTCGGCATGGAGGTGATCAGTTTGTGGCACTGCTGAGGTGGTATGGAAGCCCAGGTTTCTTTGACAGTGGCCTTCAGCTCATCTGCTTTTTTTGGTCTCTTGTTTCTCATTTTCCTCTTGACAATACCCCATAGATTCTCTATGGGGTTCAGGTCTGGTGAGTCTGCTGGCCAGTCAAGCACACCAACACCATGGTCTTTTAACCAACTTTTGGTGCTTTTGGCAGTGTGGGCAGGTGCCAAATCCTGCTGGAAAATGAAATCAGCATCTTCAAAAAGCTGGTCCGCAGAGGGAAGCATGAAATGCTCCAAAATTTCTTGGTAAACGGGTGCAGTGACGCTGGATTTAAAAAAGCACAATGGACCAACACCAGCAGATGACATTGCACCCCAAATCATCACAGACTGTGGAAACCTAACACTGGACTTCAAGCAACTTGGGCAATGAGCTTCTCCACCCTTCCTCCAGACTCTAAGACCTTGGTTTCCAAATGAAATACAAAACTTGCTCTAATCTGAAAAGAGGACTTTGGACCACTGGGCAACAGTCCAGTTCTTCTTCTCCTTAGCCCAGGTAAGACACCTCTGACGTTGTCTTTCCACGACATTCTAATTTATTGAGATGCACCTGTAGAACTAAGAGGCAAAAATTATACTAAGAAACTATAAGTAGGCCATCCATTCTTTTAGTGTGGTTTCTCTTTTTAACAAGTAAATCGCAAGCTGTAACAAATTTCCAAGTTATTAAAAAAGTAGGGGTCCAATAACAATGTTAAAATATTTTTTACTTGTGAAACATCACATTATACAAAATTACAAGGCTTACAGTCAATGTATTGATATAAACAGATCACTGCTGTGACATCTACAGATCATTCATATATGTAAATAAGCCTACAGTGTGAGACTTGGAGAACAAAATGATTAGCATATCAATGGATTCCTGTTACAACTGCCTTCTGTGATTGAGCACTTCCACTAAAGACAGGAGTATAGAGCAAATCAGAACATGTAGACCATACAAACAACTTTAAAAAATCTGACGTATAATTATTTACAAGAACTGACTTTATAAAAAGTTCAAATTTGACCTTCAAACATTTCCTCCCAGTGATTTCAGATCCAGTGATTATACCAATTACGTACTTTTCAGTGTACTGAAAAACAGCAGCAAATGCTTGCAGTGGAGGAGGAAGGGTCCATGAAAGGCCTCTCATTTGCGGTAACCACTGACACATATCGCAAATGATTTCCCCCCGTATATTAGTTTGTTTACATGGTCCAGATCTTTTTAAGTTTTGATATTGTATAAGCCAGTGGGTGACAGAGGTCTCAGCTTCTCCTGTATCTGACATAACATCTCATACAGCATTTTTAAACCGTGAAACACTTAAGAACTGCATTTACACACTACACAGAACACCCAGTGAAATATTTCAATTAAACACAGTAGATGACAAATTACACTGTAACATGTTATGTTGTAATATGTCCATGTGCATTTAAAATCTTATATGAGCTATTAAAATAAGGCAGGTCAAAACTACTATGTTTGGATAAAAACAGCATTGATAAAAGTTTCAAACAGCAAATCTTGTCTTAATGACTTCATGACTGTAGTTGCCCAATGCTACACAATAGTGCTCTAACAAATGTGCAGTGTAGAGTGCAGTACAGTACTTACAAGTGTAATAATGAATGCAGCTACTTCATAAGAATATAGAAAGCAGAGTAAAAGAAAGGCAAAAAAGAAGAAGAAAAAATAGAATTTCTGTAGGAAAAACTACTAGTTCTAAAAATAGTCAGTGATGCAAGGGTTCACAAGCTCTTTGACAGTCATCCAATCAGAGAAGATCTAAACAGGAAGTGGACAGTGGGTGGATCAAACATTCTAGATGATCAAACATCTCGTTGCGACAGGAATGGGTCATTTATGTGCTTCTGCTACACCTGTATAGAGTCACTCAAAACTGGTATAAAAATTATAAAAGGAATGGTGGTCCCCAAACACTGGATCCTGCTGTTAGCCCTTTGTGATTCTTGGTCCTCAGTGTTGAGATCTGGGCTTGCGGATGCCATCTGTCAAAACCCAGCATTCTTGAAGATGAAACTGCAACCCCATGCATGACCAGAGTCCAGTTGTCTGTGCCTGCATTGTAAGGGCACTGGAATGTAGGAAAACATTTGATGGACCTGTGACAGGTGTTGGGCATGTGCTCAAGGTGTCGCTCTCAGAGTTCAGTGGTCAGCAGACCTTTGGGCTTGTGGTTGTCGTCCATGATTGGGTAAGCCACAATACTGTCAAAGATCAATTCAGCAGTTGTCAGTTACAATCAGAAGCTGAATTAAGAACAAACTTTAAATTTTTTTTTAAATTAAATAAACTTCAGTGTTTGAAAGCAATTTCCACTGCACTAAAACCTTTTTTTTTATGTTGCATGTAAAAAAACACTACTGTTCAAATGTTTGAGGTCAGTATGATTTTTATTTATTTATTTTTTATTTTTTAAAGAAAGTACTTTAATTCAGCAAGGATGCATTCAATTGATCCAAAATTACAGTAAAGACATGTATAATGTTACAAAATATTTATATTTTAAATACGGCTCTTTTGAACCATCTATTCATCAAAGAATCATGAAAAAAAAGTGGCACAATTTAATTCTACAGTAATAATAAGAAATGTTTCTACAGCATCAGCATATTCGGAAGGATGTGACAATGAAGACTGGAATAATGGCTGCTGAATATTCAGCTTTGCCAACACAGGAATAAATTACATTTTAAAATGTATTAAAACATAAAACAGCTCATTTAATAATGTAATAATATCTTACCATATTCTTGTTTTTACTGTATTTTTGCTCAAATAAATCCTTGGTGAGCATAAGAATCTTTTCAAAAACATTAAACATCTTAATGACCCCAAACTTTTGAATGGTAGTATATTTAATTGAATACACTACTACTTTGTAGTGGTTGTCAGTGGAGAAACATGCCCACATAATCAGGGCCGCTGCTGGCCAAATGGGTGCCCTAAGCAGAATTATATAGCTGTGCCCCCTCCCCCAAATATTATGGAAGTGTAAAAAAAATCAAAAAATAAAAACTACTATAGGGGCCAAAATAGAACTTTAATCAAATATAAAAGTAATTAAATCAATTGTAATTAAACTTTATTATTTACAAAGTACAATTGTAGTTATATAGCCAAAAAAAGGAAATAAATAAAATTACACATTAAATAAAACATTTTAAAAGATTAAATATTAAAAAATAAACAATAATAAATTAAATCAAAAATCAAAGACCGCTTCATCCTCTTTTGTAACAAATTTCAGTATTGACCCTGCATTAAATGAAGCAGAAGATATTAGTCACTGAAGAATTACTGAGTGCACTTCTACATAAACAGCTATTAGTTAAAAAAATAAAATATATAAAAAAAATAAAAAAGTAAATTAAGAGCAGTCAGTGTAATAAAACATAGTTAAAACGGCTATGATTTTATTAATGCAGTTATCTGATTGATTTTATAGTCTCAAGCATTCAGAAAATCACACAAAAGAAAACCAAGCAGTTTTACTACGATAAAACCATGTTAATTTTTGTAAGGGTTGTGATGTCCATATGTTTTTGTTGAAGAAATGATAGAGGCTGTTGCAATTCTATCGCAAAAAGGTGGCCAAAAATGAAAGAATATGTGGATATTTGAATGAAATGTTTGGTCAATATTAAACAAGGATTTGATCGTCCTGTAAGTGTAACAGCAGCAATTACCAGGCCTTTGGCACCCTTTGTAGGCATTTGTAAATTGCTTATTTATTTTGTATTACATTATGTATTTTAACAGAGTTACTCAATGAAACCATAGGATTATTATTAATTAACCAATCATTATTGCCTCATTGTTTTTATATAATCCATTTTACGTCATTTTAAAGGCTGTTGTTCGCTTAGGTCTATTTTTATTACCACAAAAAAATATTAGGCTAAATACTTTGTTAATTATTATTTGAAGTAACAAAACCATGGTTAATTTGTGGTTACCATGGTTACAATAACCATTTTTTTTGGAACATGGAAACTCAAGAGAGAATATTAAGGCAGATGCGTTGGTGGTGATGAAATTATTACTGACATTAAAACACGTTATTAACGTCAACAGACAAAAAAAGTTTCACAGGATTATGAACGTACATGAAAATGATATACGGGCTTCATCTTGGGCTTTTTAACTTTTTCTTTTCTTGGCGCCCGGACTGCTGATGCCTTTTTCCGTGCATAGTTGTCCATCAATTATGATCATTTGCAGTCATCCGTAAACAAGAGGTGAGGTGAGGGCGGGCGCTGATGCGGGAATGGCGCGTCACGTGTGCTTAGCCTACTGCATTCACTGTAAAATGCATTTCTTTAAATTGTATATATATGTTCATGTTTATATTTTTATTCATGTATGCATGTATGTTAATATTAATATAGAACGAAAGTTTTTTTTTTTTTTTTGAGCAACTGGGATGGTGCCCCCCCCTGGGAGTTGGTGCCCCACGCAAACTGCGTACTCTGCCTATAGAGAGCTGCGGTAATCCACATAATGGTGAAATTACAGCATTACTCCTCTTGGTTTTATCCTCTACCAAGTTGAAAATGGTCAATCTGATTGCTTAGGAAAGTAATAGGACAACTGTCCTCAACAGAGCAGAGAACGGTAATGGAGCAGGGATGAAACAAACCTGGTGGCAATCACATTGTGAGTGTGAGAGAGATTTGGGAGTGGGGAAATAGCAGCCCCTTCAGGATGGTGAGATGACATCTTTGCTGTACAGTCAAGGAGGCCGTTAGTAAAGGTGCCAGACTGCTAGAGGTGAGAGAGGAAGCAGGGGGACAGTCAGTCACTAAATGAACTACTAGAAATGTGAGAGGAAGTGAGGGTAATGAAAATGTACACTCCATTGAACATGTGGCTTGATAGCGAGTCATCTGAGTCAACATCATCAGCTGCAATAAGAAAGCTTCTTCTAAATCTATAAATCTACAGAGTGCATCTACAGCGCTGCAGAGAAATATGAACAGGCATCCATGTACAATAGATAGTTGTATAGTTGATAATGTAGATAGTTGCTGTTCTTCTACGATGATGCATAGATCTGTGTCTGGAGTCCTCACCAGGAAAAAAGCTAAAACTCAGTGATTGCTACAGTCAGTTGGAGGTACTTTTAAACCTTACCAAATGCATCATATTCAGAGTATTCAATCAATCCATTATCAGATTTCATTTTCATGTAATATCTTCATCAAAATTATTCAAAATAACGTTAAACGTTTAGACAAAACATAAAAAAAGGCCTTGATTTTAGATGTCAACTCACTATAGGTGTTGAAGCTGGAATGATCCAACGAGGAGTGATTGTGGGTTTTGGAGTTGGCACCTATGTCAAATCAAATATTTGAATAAAATATTAATACTTCAACGATGTGGAAACACCTGAAGAAAATAGGCATTATTGTTCCAAACAGTCAATTACATAATCAAACAGTAAACCTTTGCTTACTATAAGCATAACAAGCATATTGTGAGCTGCAGTGCTAAACTTACTACAGGAATGGGGTCTGTGAAGTCTATCAGGTTATCAGTCAGAGGGGCTCTCAGCGGCTCAGAATCCTGACCTTTGACCTGCATTGTAAAAAGCCACATGCTCTAAAGCGTATGCCAACCAAAAGCACATTCAATTACTAGATTTGCATTTCCTGCAGGATGTGTCAATTCTGGCAAGACATCACTTTGACAACTATTTGAAAACATCAAAAAAAAAAAAGAGACAAAAGAGGGACTATTCAATATAAATAGATACAAATATAAGTAAATAGTAAATGTGGCATTGTGAGGTGGATGCAAAGTGGCCCAAGTCCAAAGAACCCACCCTCAAGTCTATGATATTCTAGTCAATGTTCCCTCCAAAAGGTTTTTTTTTTTTTTTTGGTTGCGCAAAGCAAAACTTTTCTCTATTGGGCAGACATTTCGGCCACCTGAGCAAACACATTCTTTATACCAGACCTGTACAGCGTGCACACAAAAAAGTGTGTAACTTTTTGATTCAACTATTTGATTCGGACCCATGATGTAACTAAATGATGCACATTTTAGGTTATCTGAGAAAAAAAAATTCTACAGTGCTGTTACACCAAGAAATTATATTACAAATTAAAAAAATCTCACACAGAACAGTTCAATTCTTTAATAATATAATATAATATATAAAAACAAACTGAAGCATTTAAACGGATGAATATGTAGCACTTGTGTCTTGTTTTAGACTCGAAAGGAGTGGAGTGGAAGATATAAAACTTACACAGGAGACCAGAGGTTGAATATAAAATTAACACTTTACTGTAATACGGCAAACACAAACCAGATGTTTGGATCAAAAAAAAAAAAAAAACAAGTAACGAAAGGTAAGTAAAACACACTGCAGTAAACGAGGCAAAGAGTTGTCTGAATCCAGTGCAAACAATTACTTACATTGGAAAGACACTGTGAAAGACATGTGCCCGAGTGGACAGCATTCTGGAGATCCTTGCTCGTTTCCAGCTGGGTGCAAGCTTGCCGTACAAGACATTATTACAACTCTTGGGGATGCTGACCGCCACCCACCTCTGTGATTCCACTTGGCTTATTTCACCTCAGGCCTCTCTAGCGGTGGAAAAACAGTTTGCAGTTGAACCCTGCCAGACATCTTCACCGGCTGATTGTTGTCTCACGCAGTTGTATCCAGGCATTGACACCGTGGAATCGTCGAGAGTTTCTGACGTCAGGTGTTCCCCTAGGGGTCATTCCTTCTTGTCAAGAGGTGGTCACAACCGTTGCTTCCCTCTTCAGGTGAGAGGCATCATGGAATCACAGGGGGTGTTTGTGGCCATTGGTCTCCAGCTCGGTCCAGGGACCACCTCAATCTCCTGGAGTTGCATGCAGTTTTCCTAGACCTGCAGCATTTCTTGCCAGATCTGGCAGGCTGTCATGTCCTCATTCGGTCCGACAACTCCTCGACAGTGTTTCACCTGAACCATCAAGGTGGAACAAAGTCCCTGAAGTCCCTGCATCTCACCCACAAGATACTCACTTGGTCTCTTCCTCGACTAGGATCATTGAGGTCAGTTCACCACCCGGGATCAAGCAATCAGATAGTGGATGCTCTGCCAAGGGATCTTCTGCACCCAGGGGAATGGAGGCTTCACCAGGATGTGGTGCAGAAGATATGGGAGCAGACAAATCTAGTGAGATAGCGCACACTGTTTCCCCAGATGAACGTTAAGCAACCCAAACTCACAGCATATGCAGAGGAAGAGTTTGTCGACCGAGCTGCTGAGATGGAGACGTGCACCACGCTTGTAAAGGATAACAGTGCAACAACAAAGCACGTTCCCAAATGCACATGACTGGAAACCCAAACAAACAACACATGCAATAAAAGACCAAACAATATAATGCAAGCACTGTCCAAGGTTTTACCACAAACTCAACTTTATACTGATATTGCGAGACCGTTATTCACCTCAATGAGTAACATTGACATGTTTAATATCACAAGATCTTGTGTGCTCCCGAAAGCCAGGAGAAATGGCTCTGTATGTATATCAGTTGCACTGCATAGTTAATTTTGCGCAAAACTATTGTTTTTATCGAAAAGAAAAATTAACACTAATTTCATATATACTGCCTTTTAAAAATTCAAATACCTTTTAATAAATATGGCTGTTTTCAAGAGTTTTATAGGACTTAAATTTCAAAAAATCAAATTCAAGTACTTTAAGCATTTTAAGCACCTTGTACGATCCCTGTTTATAGCCTAACTTAAACTGTTTACATTTGTTGATTGTATTTAGGCTTCAAAATTCATAAAAGCTGTGGTCATCTGTGAAGATTACCATGATGAACATTTAAATACCATCAACTTTTATTGCTCACAGATTATTATTATTATTATTTTTTTTTTTCTGCAATAAACCGAAAGCCAAGGGAAAAATCCTATTGGCTTTTTGTCGAGGGAACCAGGAGGATGTTAACTATGGGTTGTCATCCCTCCAGCACTCTATTGACAATCCTGATGAACCACCGAGTAACCAGCAGCTGGAATGACATTAAGCCACTGTTACCTTGGATGACTGGGCTTCATTCACTGGATCTGATGACAGAGATGAAGTCACAGAAGAGATGAAGTCATCTGCGTTCTCTTCCAGGCTGAGGACAGACAATGAATAGAATGAGCACTTTCATGAACAAATGCCCTGCAAGTCTTTTTTTCTGAGTGAATCTTGAAGCTGCCATATATGATAAAACAATGGTGGCTGTAGCTGTGGATGAAAATGTTTGTGAATATTCAGGTCTTTTCAATAGTGATGAAGCATGTCTGAGAAGAGCTCTGGACCCAAACCTTTTGATTTTGAGCACTGGAAATGAACACAAAGACATTGAAAACCTTTGAGCATTTCAAAGCACCTCTCAAGCTATTCATTAGTGTTCATTCAAAGGAAATCACACAGGAAATCACAATGTTCACCTTTGAATGAAACCTTATGAACACCTCTAATGAAGTGTTTAAGGAAATGACTCAAGGTCATTTTGTGATTACTGTTGATTATGGGTTTGTGTGTGTGTGCGCATTTAGACAGCTTCCCACCAGAGCAGAGCGGCTTTCCAGAGAGTCCTGACAATATTTACACATTTGGCAGATGATTTTGCCATTGTGCGTGTTCCCTGTGAATCAAACCCATAGTTTTGGTGTCTACAAATTGAGCATCTGATGTAGGCATCAGTAGTGAATTATAATGTAATCTCTGGCTCTTTTCCATAATACCCAATTTTCAAATTGTATATAATTTTAACCATCAGTCACATAACATTTATTTGATTCTACAGACATCTAATTGTAAATGTGACGTTGGACAGAGAAAAAAAATCTTCCATATTAAGACTCATTTTCCACATGTTTCTTTTATAATGTGACTATCAGAGCTGAATGGTTCCAGGTCAGTGTACACAGCTAATCATGCAGTCAATCTGTGGCATGAGTACATGTGGTTACATAAGAACATGTTTCCAGGCAGACCACGGCCATATGACCCATCTGTAACTACATATCAACGGTTGCCACTAGATGGTAACAGTAAGCTTTAAATCACAGGCTACATTAAAGGGGTCATATGATGCGATTTCAAGTTTTCCTTTCTCTTTGGAGTGTTACAAGCTCTTGGTGCATAAAGAAGATCTGTAAAGTTGCAAAGACTAAAGTCTCAAATCCAAAGAGATATTCTTTGGAATGTTCTGGGTTCAATACAAGGTACAGTCTATGGACATCATCTGTGAAATGCTTTCAATTAGAAAAAGAAAATAAGTTATAATTTATTTTAAATTAGCAACTGCAGCATCTCGGTCTAGTTTTTAGGACACAGAAGTGCTCAAATTTGTTCTACCTCTTTGGGAAAATTCTTGCTAGTTCTAATTAACATACACTTCTGTTCAAAAGTTTGGTGTCAGTAAGTGTTTTGGAGAAAATTTGTTATGCTTACCAAGGATGCATTTATTTGACCAAAAACATAGTAAAAAGAATGTGAAATATTTAAAACTGTTGTTTATTTTAATATTTAAAATAGGATGACCATATGTGCCCTATTTCCCGGACACATCCTGGCCAGGATTTCTATATTGCCTAAAATATCCAGGTTTTGGCTTTGTTTTCGCTGTGCAGACTGATCAGTGTATGACATTAAAGTACCATGAGAGCTTTAGAGGGCAGATGACTCCTTATGCTTTCGAATCGATCTCGTGGTACTTTGATGTTATACACAGATCGGTCTACGCAGCCCCGCTTCAAGTCGAACACACCTAATATGTATTTGTATTTGCATTGCTTTGCCTGTTCTCTGTAGATCCCACCTTCTTATGTGCCACGATTGGTCGATTATGTACAATGCCTGCATGTTATTGGTCAAACTACTTTTCAATTACTACCTTCAGCAAGTATGAAAACAAGAAAACAAAAGCCAAAACCTGGATATTTTAGGCAATATAGAAATCCTGGCCAGGACGTGTCTGAGAAAAAGAGCATGCATGGTCACCCTATTTAAAAGTGCAAAGTGTATCTTCAGCAGCCATTACTCCTGTGATGGCAAAGCTGAATTTTCAGAAGCTATTACACCAGTTTTCAGTGTCATATGATCCTTCAGAAATCATTCTAATATGCTGTTTTAGTGCTCAAGAAACATTTCTTCTTATTATCATGGTTGAGTCTTTTGTAACATTATATTTTTCTTAACATATTTTTGTATTAAATTCTCACAGTAATGTAAAATGTATAATGTCTCAATGAAACAAAAAGGGTCAAAATAAAGGCTTTAATTTACTCATTGCAACTCATTTCCACAAGTTTGGAGAGAAATATCCTGCCATATCTGTCCTGTCCTGTTCATTTTAAGATTAAACCAAATAATATAACGGCATAAAAGATTTAATCTTGAAAACATAAAACAAGTCCTGGCTTGTTGATGGGAGGACTAGATGGCCCCTTTAATCTGGGTGTGCCACAGTTTCTGCCTGCCTGCTTGTGCTCCACTGCCTCAGACATTGTCCCAGGAGGATTACAGGCCCACAGGCTCACTCACATGGCCCTACTATGTCTTAATCCACACACTCAAACAACAAAGCAATGCTTCTTTGTAGTACACTCTTCTCACTGTTCTTGGACTAGGTTTTGTGTGCTGTGGTCTCACCTGCTGGTAGAGCAGGGCAGCAGGCCGGGCTGTTTTAGCAGGTCCCAGGACTCCTGGCGCTCCGCTCTCCCACTCACTGGCAGAGAGGTTGTGCTTCCCATACGCCCCCCATGACCCGTCAATCTGATAGAGTCAGACAGGCATTGCTATCCATCATTCACATCATTACTAAAAATAATAATTTTTAATAACTATCATACAACAAATATCTGTGCCCATGTTATCTGTGCACAAGTTTTACAAGAAGACACAAATATATCATACCTGGCTGCTGCTTCCTGTAGGTTACAGTTCTTGTCTGGAGCCAGTCCAAGCTCATCTCTACAATCCTAAACAAAGAGATGAACCTTTCCAAACATATACAAGCACTTTGCACTTCAGTATACCCGACATATAACTTCAGTCTACCTGTCCCACTTCAGTATACCTGACATTAACATGTTGATGTCGTAAGCCATGTATGTAGTCATTAAATCACAAATACTCCCTTTGAGGAAGACGAACAGCCAATTGTCAAGTTGCTGAATACCTTGAGCGCTGCCTCTGCCTGAGCTTTCAGGACGTTGCTCTTGAGTTCATCTTGAGCTTTGAGCTGGTTCAGAACAGGACTGCTGCTCACACTATTCAAACTTTTTTCTGTTATTTTTACCACTTCCTCCTGCACAAAAAACCAAAGCATGTTAGCATCAAACATTAAATGTGTAATGATTATAATTATACTTAAATATATAGGCCAGGCTGAAATAATCATCAGCTCTTTATGGGAAATGACCTTACATGACACTGATACAGAGATCAATGACTGCAGTAATAGCACAAGTAATTATCTTCCCTATTAATATTAAATTTAAAGTACATCCTCAGGCTGGATTGACACAGTGGCCATCACAATCTCTGCACCTCGTATTTAAAGTCTATGTCAAGCTTTAATAAGATGCAGTGTGTGTGGAGGGGGGACATATTGCAAAAACACCATTTACAAAAAGCTTTGTTCTCAGTGTGTGCAGGGCTTCCGGTTGGCTGAACTGACCTGGTTATTCATGTTGAGGTTGACATTGGTTCTGGCTGGAGCAGACACTGGAGTGTTTTCAATCTCTAGTTGCTTGAGCCGAGCTGCAGCCTCTGTGGATGAGAACAGTGAGCATCATTAAACAATGAGAGGTCAGACAAGACAGATGGAAACACATCTGCATGTGTGGGGATTAAACCATGTTCACTCTGGGGATAATCAGTTCACACGATGGAAAGGCAGAGCGTAAAAATACTGTAACTGTACAGACAATGATCAAATAATAAATAAAAAAAGTTGTACTTCGTTTCATAAAAGCATGTAGATGTTACAATTGTTTTCTTATTTTATATGAAAGAGATGAGGAATTTAAATATATACATTTATATACCCAATATACACTACCATTCAAAAGTAAAGGGTTGGTAATAGGCTTGCTGCGGTAGTCAGTGTTACCGGTGTTCGGCCACACACCGAATAGATTACTTAACCACCGCAGTACTGCCCCACTGTTGTTTTGCTTTTTTTATAGAAATAAAAACCATTTAGTTCAGTTGGACAACAGACGCTACTAAGTTCGCGCTGCAGAGCCGCAGCACAGTGCAGCAAAAGTCTGATTTCACTGGTCACGTGAAGAGAGTGATAGAGGCACTTTCAGTACGAGCGCTTCGGGTGTATACGAGCGCGAAGGTGCATGCAGAAAAAAATGACACAAATACTGAGAAAACGATGGTGGATGGAGGCTTTGGTTTTCAAGAGAAATGTAAAAGTAAAGTAAAAGACCGCTTCTCAAACCAGAGAGGGTGAGCATGTTGTTTTCTTGGCAATAAAACATGCAAGCACCATCACAGAAAGCCAATTTAGTTTCAATTTTCTTTTTGTTTTCATTTTGAAAATCCTGCTGTCTTTGCTGTTTACCTGACGTTAATCTATAGATGCTTTTTTTTGTTTGCTAAACTTTCTATAATTTATTAGTTGATATACAACACAGCATGTGGTGTGTGCCATGACTCGTCTTATTAATTTTCATTAATAAACATTATATAAGCTTGTTTGTCATTGTACTGTTGTATTGTTGTTGTGCTTTTCATTAAGAATACAAATGAATCCATCTTGCAAACCTTCATTTTAGTCTTGGAAAGTGAAAGGAGTAAATGCAAAAGAAGATGATCTTTTCTTGTAAAACCAAGATCATTTTATACATTTTAAAATTTAATTTATTCCTGTGACGTCAAAGCTGAATTGTCAGCAGCCATTACTCCAGTCTTCAGTGTCACATGATCCTTCAGAAATTAATTTAATATGCTGATTTGGTGCTCAAGAAACATTTCTAACCATCAATGTGATCAGGTTGTGCTGCCTATTATTATTGTGAAAATCATGATACTTTTTTTTCTCCATGATTCTGAATAGTTCTTATTTGTCATCTTTGATCAGTTTAAAGCTTCCTTGCTAAATAAAAGTATTAATTATTTAATTTCTTTAAAAATGTTTTACTGTCCCAAACTTGTGAATGGCAGTTATGTGGGGTGGTACTGGCCAATACTGTTTTATTTATTATTTTGAAGTGGAGTATCCTGGAAGCAGACAATATTAGTGTTTACTTTTGACCCAGTTCCAACTATAAACTCTTTCTGTGCCAGGTTACAAAAGCACATTTATAATGTATATTATAAAATTGTTTGGATGCCCAATTTTGCTTTTGAAACAAATTTATAATTGTTGTGAACAAATTAAGTTATTAGGATTAGAAAATTCAGCAAGACAAACATTGTCCAAAATTTCTGCCAGTGCATCCCACTGTATCTGTGATGTATTAACTCACCGGTCAGAGAGAGGGTCTCCTCTGCGGCTGTGCTGGCAGTGGTATGAGCAGAACCTGGTCCCACTTCTTCTGCTGTTACCATGGGAACAGGGACTCGAAGAACCTCATCTATGAATGTCTCCAAGAGGTCAGTCACCAAGGGTATGCTGTGAAGGATGAAAGGGTTTATTACCATCTGTCAATTACAGGATGTAACCCCGTATGTGCTGCTCAAACAGAGTCCACATTGGTAGATATATGACAAATGTGACTCACCTGGACAAAAATGCTTGAGGCCGGGCCAAGACTCAAGTTACAGCTATGCAATAGCACAGTATCACGTTTCAAATATGTGACAGTTTCAGATGGGTGTTGGACGATGGTTGGGCAATGAATATGCATTTCTATATGTGATGTACTGCATGACCATAATAATCAAAATAATGAAACCTTTATAATCAAAAATGAGCAGAGACACAGGCATTACTGAAGAACTTCACACCAAAGGAATGGAACCGTTATCTAATGGAGTCATATGCCAACTGACCGCACACATTCCACTAGATCTAGATTAAAAGACCACACACATGCACATTAGTAATGCCTGTACTAGAATCACAAAAAGTGATGTATTCCTTCCCTTCCTAAGTGAAAAGAGGGAGGGAACGGTCACATTCCATAAACGGCTACAACGAGATTAAAACTCAAAGGCTTAATTTTGGACATGTCACTCCTCGCCACACTGACTAAACCCACTTTGCACTTTACAGTATTCAGTGTCTGTACAAACTTAGTAAAAATAAAAAAATTAAAAACCTTCCAGCTTGAGACAAGACAAAGTTATTCATTTACAGAAATGCACAGTAAAAACCTAAAGAGAAATTGAAACATACAATGGGGAGTTGCTTCTGTTTGTTAATTTTAATCAATTGTCTTAAAGCCATGCAAGATACATCTGTCCTTTGGTTATAGTTGAATTGTAGACAATCTAAAAACAGTGTATACTGCACTACACATGGTCAACTGGATAAAAAAAAGTCAATAATCAGATAATTCTGATCACACATTGAAATAAAATATATAATTCTAATGGCACTTTCCACAAATATGTTTCTCTACTCCCTAAAAGCACAAATCCAATGTTCTTATGAAGAAAAATATTTCTTTTCAATTTATATGAAATAGTCTACCCAAAAAGAGTCCCAACTTCGGTAGGACTGTCTGTTACCCAACTTTGTTGCTTTAGTTTTTCTTTTAAAAATGCTTATGTTTAATGTTTATTACTAAAATAACAAAATCAAATCTCATACAACATTTAGCTTGGCTTCTTGAAATACAAACAACATTTTCTAAACGTCATGTACTTCCTTTCACTGAAAATACTTCATTTTTAAGAGTTTAATGCCTTACTTTGTTCCCTATTTGCAGAGGCGGACAGTAACTAAGTACATTTACTTGAGTATTGTACTTAAGTACACTTTTTGAGTATCTGTACTTTAGTTGAGTATTATGTTTTCTGGAAACTTATGACTTTAACTTCACTACATTTGAAAGACAAATATTGTACTTTTCAATTACATACAAGTAAAAGTTTTCTACATTACTATCAAGATCCTCAAAGTAGAAAGTCATTAGCAGCTTTGAAATTCAGTGGGTGATTTCTTTTCTTGTCTTTTTTTCAGACAGTTTATCAGTTATCACTCTTGTAGGGCTACATGAAGTGATTTCCCAGCATTTTTTGAACACTGACCAGTTCCAAATGTGATATTTATTTACAACAATTCAATAAGTTAATAAGTATTAACAATATAAGTTAATATTGTGGTTTATATTAGACAATATTGTCTGATTTTGCTAAATTGTGTAAGTGAAAATATTACCAATAAAGCCACAGAAGAACTGAATCGCCTAATAAAACACAAAAGGTGTTGGACTGAAGCAGCACTGCACAGACCATTCTGTGTATGACATCAAAGTACTGCGAGAGCAATTAGACAGCATTTTTTATTTTTTTATTAAATTTAACATTAAGTTGTGACGTCAAATAAGTCTTGCTGTTTTGCTTTTTTGTTAAAGCAGTGTTGCTGTTGTAAAGTTATACAGCTACAGTTGTGTTGCTGGGTTTTAAAGCAGGTTTGAGTTTTTATTTTCTTCCTTATCAGTTTGTATTTACAGCAATTTCACTGTTCACTCTGTTCAAATGTGGATGAATGGCTACACATAGATGTGTCCAGAGCTGTGTGAGATCACTACCATCCTACTTTTGTGGGGGTGGGTAGGGGTGTTAAATAATAATTTTTGTTTTGTTTTGTTTTTTTCCCCATAGGTTTTTAACATTCTAAAAGCTCTTTATTCCAAAGATACTACAAGCTAGTCAGTGTATTCAGTAGGTGTAATGTATTGTAAGTTGCTTCAGAAGTATTGCAAGTATTATGTATAATAATAAAACAGTGCATTGACATAAAAAAGGAAATTTACTTTTTTTACTTAAGTACTTTTAAAAGCAAGTACTTCTGTACTTTTACTTAAGTAAAAATCTGTCTTTACAACTTTTACTTGTAATGGAGTAATATTTGACCAGCAGTATCTGTACTTTCACTTAAGTAATGGAGTTGTGTACTTTGTCCGCCTCTGCCTATTTGTGGGAAATGTCTAATATCTTTGTTTCAAATGTATAGTAAAAGTGTGGTTATGATGATCAAGGCATAACTTAAATTTAATAAATAGCTAAAATAAATGTCAACAGGATATTTCCTGGGTGACGAAGCTGGCTGAATAATGACCAAGTCGTTCTCATCGAAAGTACAGCCACAGTAAGGATTTCAGGCTTCTCCCATGAAGGTTATCATCTCATCTCTCTGGCTGGTTTCAGTCTCGGAAGGGAAGGCCACAGAATGCTTGAATGGTTAAAACGAGGGGAAGACTTTAGCCCAGGTAGTTTCACTTGAACTCAGTCAGAGAATATGCCTTTTATCCCGGCGTTCCCTGGCACTCAGTTTGTATCCGAAGAATGTGGCGGTGGAGGGGCTGTGGCAGCATCCGTGTATGAAAGGAGGTGCAGGGAGGTGCCTGTCGGTCACGCTGGTGGGATTGAGGGGGGGAGTGAAGCCTGGATGGGTCAGTGGAGGAGGGGGGAGTGTTAGCATGAAGGACAGGAATACTGTAGAGTCTGATGTGCAGAAGTCAAAAAAGGGTAGGCAACAAAGAGAGCAGATCACAGGACAAGAGTAAAAGTAAATATAAAGAATAGAGTAAAAAAAAAAAAAGGTAGCATTAGTTAACTGCATGCAAATGTTTCCTGAACCACTATTCAGCATCTTTCTTCTTTCCTCATTGCATTCAACAATGAACACACGATTCACATAATTTAAAAATTAATTTCAACTACTGAGCAAATAACACAATGCAAGAAAAATTGTTTCACTTAAATGTTTTATGTTTCTTCTGTAATTATGTGGTGATAATTATTATTGTACTATTTATTTTCACATAGCATTAACATTGTATTAAATATTTAGGTCAGGTAAATTGTTGTTAGCTCAGTATTATGCATGTACCATGTAATTTTTATGCATGACTTATAAAAGATTAGCTTGTATAAGATGTCAACATTTTTTTTTAGTTTTCATGAGCACTGTAAATTATACACAAAAAGTAATGTGATTTTCATATTCAGCATGTCAAAATTCATAACATTAAAAATAAGTGAAACAACTTTAATACAAATTTGTTTCACAGTGTAATTAGTAGGGCTGTGCGATATTGGAAAAAAAACACGATATGCGATACCTTGTTAAAAAATGCGATATTCGATATGCGATACGATATTGCTTAAAGTGTAAAAAAACGAATTAAATTATATTTTAAAATATTTAAAAATGAAAATTATATAACCAATTTGTTTCACATTCTTTCTTGGAAAAGAAAGAATCACTACAACTTCAGAAAGTGACCAGCAGTGTTTTAGCAGTACATAAAAAGTAATCATAAAATAAATAAAAAACAAAATCAGAAAATGTAATTTTAACATCAATGTGAACATACAAACAAAAAAATGAATGACACTAATTTTATATCTCTGTGACTTTGCTTTCCATACACTATAAGTACTTATTCATATACCACAGCAAAAACTAGTCTGAGAAAGTTCAAACATGATTAAAGGCAAGTGAACAGTCAGTAAAAAAAAAAGAAAGAAAAAGGGGGGAAAAAAGAACAAATACACAATTTACAAGCATAGATAAAATAAACAGTAGTAATTCGATATGCGATACGATATTGCTTAAAGTGTAAAAAAACGAATTAAATTATATTTTAAAATATTTAAAAATGAAAATTATATAACCAATTTGTTTCACATTCTTTCTTGGAAAAGAAAGAATCACTACAACTTCAGAAAGTGACCAGCAGTGTTTTAGCAGTACATAAAAAGTAATCATAAAATAAATAAAAAACAAAATCAGAAAATGTAATTTTAACATCAATGTGAACATACAAACAAAAAAATGAATGACACTAATTTTATATCTCTGTGACTTTGCTTTCCATACACTATAAGTACTTATTCATATACCACAGCAAAAACTAGTCTGAGAAAGTTCAAACATGATTAAAGGCAAGTGAACAGTCAGTAAAAAAAAAAGAAAGAAAAAGGGGGGAAAAAAGAACAAATACACAATTTACAAGCATTTATAAATAAACAGTAGTATTCAGGTACAGAAATGTAATAATTAAGTATAAAATAACACTGCATTGTGTTCACTGTATGAATTAAATTTAGATTCATCTTTGTTATAGCTGTTTTGTTGCTTTGTTAACATTAGAGACATATTCAGCAGCACGTATTTATAGGCTGCTGTCCCTTTAAATCCGACTGCACGGATCCAGTATAATGACACATCCAATTTCTTTCGCAGCTGTTTACATTCATTTAAAACATAACCGACTGCGTTTACGAGAATGATCGTCGAGACTGGTACTATTGACATAATTCTGTGTATGTGTCTGTTCAAACATAAGGAGGAGATGCGAAAGACGAATCAACTCGGTGTTCGCGTGCCGTCTGAAACGCGCGTGTGTGTGTGTGCAGAACTGAAGATATGCTGTGTGAAATGCGCCATGTGCGCGCCCTTCAGGTGTGAGTCAGACAGCAAGACGAGATGGCAAAGAGTTGTTTTCTGCAACTTATTGCACTTAACTCTTTGTAACGCCAAGCTATTCTCTGCTATATACATCGAACTAAAACTTTGATCTTTTGCAACGTTTTGATTTAAGTAGCCTATTATTAAAATGATTCAGATATCGCACACTGTTGCGATATGCATATTGCGATATTTACATTTGCGATATTTCGATATATCGTGCAGCCCTAGTAATTCCAAGCATTTATAAATAAACAGTAGTATTCAGGTACAGAAATGTAATAATTAAGTATAAAATAACACTGCATTGTGTTCACTGTATGAATTAAATTTAGATTCATCTTTGTTATAGCTGTTTTGTTGCTTTGTTAACATTAGAGACATATTCAGCAGCACGTATTTATAGGCTGCTGTCCCTTTAAATCCGACTGCACGGATCCAGTATAATGACACATCCAATTTCTTTCGCAGCTGTTTACATTCATTTAAAACATAACCGACTGCGTTTACGAGAATGATCGTCGAGACTGGTACTATTGACATAATTCTGTGTATGTGTCTGTTCAAACATAAGGAGGAGATGCGAAAGACGAATCAACTCGGTGTTCGCGTGCCGTCTGAAACGCGCGTGTGTGTGTGTGCAGAACTGAAGATATGCTGTGTGAAATGCGCCATGTGCGCGCCCTTCAGGTGTGAGTCAGACAGCAAGACGAGATGGCAAAGAGTTGTTTTCTGCAACTTATTGCACTTAACTCTTTGTAACGCCAAGCTATTCTCTGCTATATACATCGAACTAAAACTTTGATCTTTTGCAACGTTTTGATTTAAGTAGCCTATTATTAAAATGATTCAGATATCGCACACTGTTGCGATATGCATATTGCGATATTTACATTTGCGATATTTCGATATATCGTGCAGCCCTAGTAATTCGTTTGAAATGGTTGTACAGGCATTGTACAAAGTATTTTTTATAGCTTACTCTTTGGAGTGTTACAAGCTGATTGTGCATAGATAAGATCCGTCGTAAAGCAAAATTAATATATTTTTTTTATTAATATTGTTACTTTTAATTATATATTTTAATTATACTAATTAATTATTATTAATACTAATTAAAAGTAATAAATAAATTTTTTTTTTTTACTATTATTATAAAAAATTGCAAGGTCATGGGGAAGCAGATGGTAAGACAGATGTAAGGTGACAAGAAAAGAGGGCTGAATGATTTCAAAGAATAAAATATACTTGAGTAAACAAAACTAGGTTAGGCAGAAGGGGTTGTGTTTGGTTAGTGAGGAGAAGTTGTAATAAGTTAGAAATTGTCATCAGAAAGTGATGTCCAACTGTCTGTTGATTCCATCTTGAACTTGCCAAGCAAAGGTACTAGTACTGAGACAACCTGTATTAGTTTCAGTTTTGATGAAGTAGAGGACAGGACAGTCACAAAGCCAACGACAGAATGCTGACTGCTCCAGCTTGCCGTTACACCCCACTATTCTATTTACCCAGCTGAGATCACAGGCCTACCCCACTGATTGGATTGGTTTGGACTAGAATCAAGAACTGAAGCAGACACTGATTTGCCCAGCCAGAGGAAAAATAACTGATTCAAAGCCAATCACGTAGACTCCCTCAGAGATATACTGATTGGCTGAAGCGAGTCTATGAAGGGTTGAAAACAGGAGTGTACATACCTTGCCTTATGAAAAGGCCACTGGGGTTTCAGAACATCCGACTACAAAGTTCAGACAAAAAATAGCTATAACATTAAAGAACAAGGATCAAATTTTCATAAGACAGGACAACATATCCAACTCGATAATCCCACTGATTTCATTTCTTTTCAATATTTAAAGTTTAAGGCAAAGCTCTGCACAGCGCAATAATCCCAAACACAGCCTTGGGAGACAAAGCAAGGCAGGGAAAAAAGAGAGTACGAGAGAAAGACAGGCCATTCATGTCAAGAGAGAGTTTGTTGTCAGCCCAGCAGGTGTTTTCTCCTGTGCTGAAGCAGCCATCTGCTCAATGTCAAAGCTAAATAGTATGAAGCACCTTCAGTACCAGTCACCAGCCAGCACCACAACCACACCAGCTCACCAACACACCAGCAGCACCGCCAAACAGCACAAATATATAATTTATACGAGTGTTGCACTCTGCCAAAGTGATGTTAACTGGCTGTGCATGGGCCTGAAGTAACAGCAGGGAATCAGGTTAACCTGCTTAAAGGTCTTACTGCATTAAAATTGTGAGTAGCTCACCTCCTCTTGTCCGATTGGCTGCTTCCGGGGCTCCTAGGGAGGGTTTCGATTTCCATGGGTCCCGGTGCAGAGGGTGGGCTGCTGACCACAGGCATACCAGACCAGGGAGGCCGTGTTTGGGTGGGCTGAGGAAAGAAGCATGCGGGATGCATTTAGGTACTGCAAAAACTAAAGCAAAAAAAGCAAAACAGCCTTTCCAAGCCAAGTGAGCAAATGCATGATCAAAAAGATGAAGTTCAAATCAAACTATTTAGAAATAGGCAGTATATACTAACAAATAAACGTCACTGACTCATTCATAGTGATAAACAAATGGGTGATCAACTGTATGTGTCAAGTTTATTTTTAACAAGTCAAATTCATAATTAACATTTACTGTATTTATATTATTAAAATTGTGATTTTAATTGTGTGCAATTGTTTCAAAAGTTTGGGGTTGCTAAGATATTTTAATGTTTTTTTAAAGTCTTTTATGCTTACAGAGGCTGCATTTAATTTGATCAAAAACAATAAAAAAGTAATATTAGTGAAATATAAAATAAGTGTTGTCTATTTTAATATATTTAAAAAAATTAATTATTTCTGTGATGGCACAGCTGAAGTTTCAGCATTACTCCCGTTTTCAGATCACACGATCCTTCAAAAATCATTCTAATATGCTGATTTGGTGATAATGCTGATCAGTATTGAAACTTTTGTAACATCATATTTTGTAACACTGTAACATCATACATTTTTGCATTACTTTGAGAACTTTGGAGAAAAACAATGTCAGAATGCAACAAAAAAGGTAATATAAAGCAATAAAGGTGGCTTTATTTTCTTCAATTTACTCATATGCAATAATTTTCCTCAAGTTTGGAGTGAAATATGACTGGACATTTCTTATTAAATCAAATAATTTAACAATAAACACTGGCTTAAAAACTAATAATTGTAGAACAGAAAGAAGGTACTACCTTTGTTTCTAAGCTTGGGCTCACTCCGTTATTGTGGTTACTGTGGAAAGAGAAGCGAAAATGCAAGTGATATAATAACTAATGTCAGGGTTAATGAGCTACTGTTGACTGACTTCAGTAGGCAGTACAAAGATGGTCCTTTTATAGAGGTGACCAGAAAACCTGGTCAGGTCAAAACAACACTGGATAACAGTAAGCCAAAACTTTCCTGATGTTGTTTTCAGCAAATGACCAGATCTTTAAAAATACAATTAGTCAAACAATCATACTTGTGAAGCACTATTGTATTAGTCACAGCATGAGTCTTGATTCCCCATAAATCAGCACTACAAAAGTGCCTACACATGATGTTGTTCATGTTTGCACCTTTAACACCAGCTGAATCCCAGTCTAAGTAGGGGTGCTTATAAGACTAAAGTGGAACACTCAGTCTGACAGCATGTGCTTAAGCTGACAGACTAGTAATGCATTTTGCCCCTGGAATAAGAACGAAATAAAACAGTAGTAGTAGTAATACTTAATGTCTTTGAAATCATGTTTAAAAAAATCACATTGAAATCATGTTTAAAAAAATAACTCAAAACAAAAATCATTGTTTTAGGATGCTTGTACATGTAAGAGTAAATCAATAATTCAGAAACGCACCTCTCAGTACAATACTGATTGCCTTATTGCCCATTTTGGTATAAAATAAAAATCAAAAGACTCTGGGCATTAAATCATTCAGCATTTATAAACTGTCACTATACACACTACACCATATAGTAATACTACAATAGTAACTAATATACACTAGTATAGTAACACAATAGAGTCCATAGAATCTCTGAACAGTGTGTTTGTGTGCTTTTAAATGACACATACTTTATGACTGATGTTGAAACTGGAAGTCACCTCATCACTATACGAGAGCCATAAGAATTCCATTGCACAATAAAGGAATGTAAAATACTTACTCTGAGGATTTTTTAGGACCTGCGGGGAAACAAAAAACATGAGCATGCTATTATGCAAGATCACATAAAGCTGAAGTCACAACAGAATTATGTGCATGGAACTGAAACAGTGTTGGGGCTTTAAGATCATATCACAGACACAAAGCAGTAAAGCAAGTCAACTATTTGATAAAGTGATTTTGAAAAGTGATGACTGGTTCACTGTAACAAATCAGACTATTACTTGTTGGGAGTAAATAAATTAAATTTATTAAAAAAAACAATACTGGTCTTAAATATGAGAATGCCATGCTTCTGAAAATGTTGGCAGTATCACCACATTTAGACAGTTTTAATTCCCAACAAAGCACAAGACATTTTCTCACCTCTGTTCTGCATGGTCCTTCTAGAGTAACGGCGACTTGGTCTTCTTTCAAATGAGGCAGAACGTCTAGCTTTGTTGGCCTTAGTTGTCTGATATTCTGTCTTCCCACTTCCCACAAATAAAAGAAATTAATGTCAGTTACACACATATCTTGAAAACTTTCTTGATAAATCCCTGCTGACTCGATAAGACTGCAGACATTTACTTTTACAGGCTTAGATTAATGAAAGTCTAATGTTGTCTGAAAGAGAAAAGCCACTGTACTTTGGATGATAAGCAGACCAACCAGAATTAGCAAACAATTTAACAAAACAAAAAAAACTATAAAACAACAACAAAATTTAGACAGACACATGTGAAATCAAAGATAAGTGAATTCATTGACGTAAAAAACAGGTTCATTCTGGAGCAAGGATAAGTACTAAAATAAGTGCAGGCAAACAAAAAGCCTGGCCAATAGGGAGCTGAACTGGACAGCATCAAAGCCCCGGGCTGGCAGCTGGAGATAAGATACAATTCCATAGTAAGGACAACCAACACACACACAACACACACATGCATGGAACATGCCACGATTTACAAATTAGCAGATATTGTGAGGAGGACCTCCTGAAAAACAGGAAGTCTTATCTCAATCCAGAGAAAAAGAAAATAACATTCAACTGACCACTGGACATGATTAGAAAGGGTTTATACTAAAATCAAAAGAGAACATGTGCCTCTATTGAAGCCACTGCAGACGCAAAAGTAGAGATGTAACATTTTTAAGAGCTTCATATAAACTATATCCGGGAAATGTATATTACACAATTATTAAATCTGACATGGCAAGCCTTTACAATGCTTGTTGTGAGTCGGCACGAGGGCATTGCCATTCAGTTGATGGTTTTAGTGTGTGCTAAGCTGGCTGAGTGGGTTTTAGTGTGCGCTAACTTTCTGAGTCATTGTCAGAAGTCTGTAGGATTTTTTTCTCCGTTTTATTATCTGCCAGACACTCATGATGGACAAATGACTAATGAACTCTAGAAAAAAAATGACCTGTATCTGAAACGTGAGCCCATGCGGACGAACCCAGAGCGGGCTGAACTCTTCTGGACCGGGCCACGTAGGCGGAAGAAGGAATGGTGCTCAACGGCACACTTCCACAGATGCTTGCAAGCCTTCGGATGGTCCATGCGGAAGACGAACGTGTGCTCCTGCTCTTTCCCCTACGGCAGAGGTCAAAATGTAAGAGCAATTCACTACTAACTTGTCCTCTGGTGTTACAAAAGAAATGAAGAAGGCATAAACAAATGTAAAATCAAGAATATGCTGACAAATGTTGTTGAGAACATATTGGCTTAACCACCAAGAAAGGCTTAATCACTAGACTAGACACCTTCGTTACATTATTAACAGAAGCTAATTTGAACTTTCTAGACAAAGTTACCTTTCAGGGTACACAAATTTTTCCAAACTGCCAAAACTATTTTAGCTATTTTACATACATACAGACTAGGGGTGCTCCGATCAGGATTTTTGAGGCCGATCACAGAAAGCAGTATCTGCCGATACAGATACTGATCTTTTTATAATTTATACCTATTTATAGTGATACTCCAATCAGGATTTTTAGACATTTATTCAGGGCCTGAACTTCATTTTTGAAAATGGGGGGAATTAGGTGACTTGTGAGAAGGGAAGCAGCTTTCACACAGAAGTCCGTTACTGATCCGTGGCTGTTTACCACAAACACAACATTTATCCATTATTTTGATTTCAAATCCAAACATTGTCACTGAAAATGCTTTTTCAGCATTGCAATTCTTTTTTTACACAGTAGAGTAATACAATCTTTCACAGACATGTTTAAACACAATAAATATAAGCAACACATTATTCAATGCTTTTTATTTTTACATTTACTTAGATTCATATATTAAGTTGCTCAAGCAAGTGGCAAAACATTTAAACTTACTTTTCTTACGTTATCACAAACTTACCATTGACAGAAATAGTCAGCTGAGCTCTACTGCCTTTTCTTGTGCATTTAAATCTTTATTACAAGCAATCCTGCGGTTCATAAAGAACTTTGTTTTCCTACCTCCACGAGTGTCATCGATTATTGCCTTCTTTATCTAAAAGTGCTTTTTCCCTTTAATCCTAGCCAAAAAGCCATATGTGCTGACTGTGAAACACAGTATACTTTAATTATATGCATTTATGGTGCAATTGCTACATTTTCGTTTTCATATGTAGTGCAAACAATGTCCTCCACAAGTGCCATCTATAATTGCCTTGTTTATCTAAAAGTGCTCTTTCCCTTTAAACCTAGCCAAAAAGACATGTGTGTCGACTGTGAAACAGTAGACTTTAATAATATGCATTTATGGTGTAATTACTACATTTTCGTGTCAATCCATGTTCATATTTTCTGCAAACAATGCACTGTTACTTGAATTCTTCTGCAATAGACTGCAGAAACGATCTCTGCACTGCTGCAGATGCACCGCTACTGGAACGCACTGCCGGGTGCAGTGTGAGCGCTTTAATTCGTTAACATGAGCACGGAAAAAATACGCACCACGTTTGCACTGCAAAAGTTATGCGTGTACGCTGCGAGTGTGCATGAGCGTATGGTCTCCAGGAGAGCGTGCGAGCGCTGAATGGTTAAATACTGGTAAGAATTTAAAAGTAATGCAATTTATAAACTTTAGTGACGATGTGACACTGCCTCGATTGTGCAAGTGACAATTCCTGTGTAAACAGTGCAGCGTGCACTGCAGGACGCTTATAGACAGACGCAATGTGTGGTGATTTGAAACCATTTGTGTATTTTGAGAGAGAAAGAGAGAGAGCGCGCGCGGTGATTCACTCACTTTGTTTAAGAAATTACATCTCACACAAGGTTTTCAAATTACTTTATAAGTTATTTAATTAAGAAATATGAAGGTGAGTACCTGACCTTCAGCATTATAATTATTTCACCCGCGCCGGACTGAGACGGTGCCACTGCATGTCATGCCAAACCTCTCACGGCAGTGTCATCAGCTTGAGATCGGTTTTTTGAGATCAACCTTTTTAGAGACCGCCGATCAATCATCCCAAAGTGATTATCGGCCGATAGTGATCGGTAGCCAATCAATCGGAGCACCACTAATACAGACTTCTTGTGCATGATTACAGGGCTGCACAATGTGGCAAAAATTGCTATTATTACAGAAAAAAAAAATTGTGCAAGAAAATACATAAAAAT